GGGCAGGGGGGAGGTGAGCTGCTCGGCGAAACTCTTATTTCAACTCTTTGCCTTCATCGCTGCTCGCCTCTGTCCTTGGATAAGGCCAAAATGCTAGTGTTACAGCACCCTCGACGAAGCTGAGGAAGTTATAACACTTAAAATATTAAAAAAAACTTTTAATGGAAGAAGAATTAGCAAGACAGCACTGTATGTAACACTTTGGCTTGGACACCCTGCTCGCACTCCAGGCTTGTTAACTATGCTACTTGCTCTCTCTGAAGGTTGTATATGTATACATACATATATATATATATATATATATATGTATATTCCGGCATGCATGCTGAGTAATGGGGGTGACAGAGGGGTTTAATAACAATTGTGTAGAGTTTCAGCGCGGGCAGCAGAAGAAGCTCGGCTCTGCTGGCCTGCGGGGTTGTCTTGCAGCAGGCGATGCAGCGAGGCATGCAGGCCGCCTCTTCTCCTCGATAGTAGCAGCCCTTGTGTCTCTGTGCCCAGGGAGCGTGGAGACTGCAGGGGATCCGGACGCTCTGGGGAAAATGTTATCTCGAATTTCTTCACATTGTTCTTGGCTAGGATGCAGGATGCAGGACCCTCGTTAGCACTGGTAGCTCCACATAGATGAGGTTAGGAGCAGCAGCCCCCACCAGAGAAACTCACCCCACAGCTGGGAGGCACATTTCATGCCAGGGGTTAGTAGTGAAGGCCCCTTGTGAAACAAAGCTGGGCGATATTCGCCATATATATATTATTCTAAATTCAGTCCCCTTTCTCCCTTTTCATTCTCAATTATCTCGATCAGTCTCTGCCCTCCGGTGAGGAGACGAGAAACAACACGGCGCCTCATTCCAGTAGCACGAGAGCTGTAGGTACACCTCACCCAGGGTGAAATGTCTTCACAGCAAACGAAGAAAGATTCGGGGTCGGCTTCACCTCTCCCGTCTGCGCAGATATGAAAGTGGCCACGATGCAGGGGGATTGCAGGAGCTGTTTTGCCTCTCTGAGGGAGTATTTCACGCTTCAAAAGCGGCTGAAAAGCAAAAGTTGAAATTTGTATTCTCTTTACTAGCAGGGGAGACAGGGCACTGGCGGCTGCATCGAGAAGTCCCGCCCTTGGCGAGCAAAAACTCCAAGCAATGGGCTGGCAGCTTCTAAGGCAAGGGGTAATAGCCTGGGTTTCCTCTCTAGAAAGGAAATGGGGAGCTCGCTAGAGCTCACTAGGCTGCGGTGAGAGAACTACGGGGTGAAGAGGTGGAACTGTGCAGGCTGATGGAGTGCTCACGCTTCAAAGAGAGAAAAAACTTCACTTCCGCATCTCTAGCTGAGTATATATATATATATATATATATATATATATATATATATATATATATATATAT